TGTCTGTTGTCGTTACCAGGTGTTACTGTGAGATGTAACATTAACTGTGTGTGATGTTGTCCCTTAATTAACGTGTTGGTTGTTGTTACCAGGTGTTACTGTGAGATGTAACAATAACTGTGTGTGAGATTGTCCCTTAATTAACATGTTGGTTGTCGTTACCAGGTGTTACTGTGAGATGTTGTCTGTGAAGTTATATACCAATGACGAGAAGGCCAGGTAAGTACCGTTTTTTTAGTTGCTGTAAAAGCTCTTAGCTTGCTTTCCTACTCCTCTTAAACCATATATGTATGTCATAAATTTTTTTGATTATTGAATACAATACTGATTAACCCTTTCACCACTAGCCTGAAGACCAAAATGGACTCATCCAGATCAATGCATGGAAGAGTTTACTAAAGTTTTATAGGGTTGAACGTGTTAAACTAGTATATACAGCTATATTATCATGCTATTCCATGATTTTCTAGCTTCATGTTCTGCTTCACTAAGGGGCTGAATCAGTAAACATATTGCCCGCAGTATTAGAATGCTGTTTGGACAAAATGTCTTGATATCACTCAGATATCTGACTTTTCTGACTCAGTTTATTGAGCTTAGTGAGTTGTTTTCAGTGGTCACAGTCAACTGATAATTTTTACTCTTTGATTGACAAAGGCATGAGACCTTTTCATAATCTCCTGAAATAAGTTTTCTATGACTGTTTGTGTTGAAAAGAAAGCATCACACCATTCATACAAAACTGATGAATCTCATTAGGAATGTTCCTTTCTGTATCCAAACACTGAAACAACAATCCATGTAACAACCAATCCCTGTAACAACCAATCCCTGTATCAACCAATCCCTGTAACAACCAATCCCTGTAACAACCAATCCCAGTAACAACCAACCCCTGTAACAAACAACCCCTGCAACAAATAATCCCTGTAACAACCAACCCCTGTAACAACCAATCCCTGTAACATCTAATCCCTGTAACAAACAATCCCTGTAACAACCAATCCCTGTAACAACCAACCCCTGTAACAACCAATCCCTGTATCAACGAAACCCCGTAACCAATCCCTGTAACAACCAATCCCTGTAACAACCAATCCCTGTAACAACCAATCCCTGTAACAACCAACCCCTGTAACAACCAATCCCTGTATCAACGAAACCCCGTAACCAATCCCTGTAACAACCAATCCATGTAACAACCAACCGCTGTAACAACCAATCCCTGTAACAACCAACCCCTGTAACAAACAACCCCTGCAACAAATAATCCCTGTAACAACCAATCCCTGTAACAACCAACCCCTGTAACAACCAATCCCTGTAACAACCAAGCCCTGTAACAACCAATTTTTGTAACTACAAACCCCTGTAACAACCAACCCCTGTAACAACCAACCCATGTAACAACCAATCCCTGTAACAACCAACCCCTGTAACAACCAACCCCTGTGACAACCAATCCCTGTAACAACCAACCCCTGTAACAACAAACCTTGTAACAACCAACCCCTGTAACAACCAATCCCTGTAACATCTAATCCCTGTAACAAACAATCCCTGTAACAACCAATCCCTGTAACAACCAGCCCCTGTAACAACCAATCCCTGTAACAACCAGCCCCTGTAACCACCAATCCCTGTATCAACGAAACCCCGTAACAACCAATCCCTGTAACAACCAACCCCTGGAACAAACAACCTCTGCAACAAATAATCCCTGTATCAACCAACCCCTGTAACAACCAACCCCTGTGACAACCAATCCCTGTAACAACCAGCCCCTGTAACCACCAATCCCTGTATCAACGAAACCCCGTAACCAATCCCTGTACCAACCAACCCCTGTAACAACCAATCCCTGTATCAACGAAACCCCGTAACCAATCCCTGGAACAACCAATCCCTGTAACAACCAACCCCTGTAACAAACAACCTCTGCAACAAATAATCCCTGTAACAACCAACCCCTGTAACAACCAACCCCTGTAACAAACAACCTCTGCAACAAATAATCCCTGTAACAACCAATCCCTGTAACAACCAATCCCTGTAACAACCATCCCCTGTAACAAATAACCCATGTAACAACCAATCCCTGTAACAACTAATCTCTGTAACAACCAATCCCTGTAACAACCAACCCCTGTAACAACCAACCACTGTAACAACTAATCCATGTAACAACCAATCCCTGTAACAACCCTCCCCTGTAACAAATAACCCATGTAACAACAAATCCCTGTAACAACTAATCTCTGTAACAACCAACCCCTGTAACAACCAACCACTGTAACAACTAATCCATGTAACAACCAAGCCCTGTAACAACCAACCCCTGTAACAACCAACCCCTGTAACAAACAACCCCTGTAACAACCAATCCCTGTAACAACCAACCCATGTAACAACCAACCCCTGTAACAACAAACCCTGTAACAACCAACCCCTGTAACAACCAATCCCTGTAACAACAAACCCTGTAACAACCAACCCCAGTAACAACCAATCCCTGTAACAACCAATCCCTGTAACAACCAACCCCTGTAACAACAAACCCTGTAACAACCAACCCCTGTAACAAACAACCCCTGTAACAACCAATCCCTGTCACAACTAATCTCTGTAACAACCAACCCCTGTAACAACCAACCCCTGTAACAATCAACCACTGTAACAACTAATCCCTGTTACAACCAACCCCTGTAACAACAAACCCCTGTAACAACCAATCCCTGTAACAACCAATCCCTGTAACAACCAACCCTGTAACAACCAATCCCTGTAACAACCAACCCCTGTAACAACAAACCCCTGTAACAACCAATCCCTGTAACAACCAACCCCTGTAACAACAAACCCCTGTAACAACTAATCCCTGTAACAACCAATACCTGTAACAACCAATCCCTGTAACAACCAATCCCTGTAACAACTAATCCCTGTAACAACAAAAAAAACCCTAACAAAACCTGTAACAGTAAGCATTATGGTTGTACAGGACATTTGTGGCAGTGGAGGTTCAGTCTCACCCAGATGTTCTGAGGGACTATGTCCAAGCTGTTGACATATGCCTTCAAGAGTTTGGACTTCAGAAATACTACAAGGTAAGTTGTGTTTGGTTTACTTTTCAGGTACTGTATGACGTAGCGCATTTGATATGCATTAATATCTTCTTAAGAATCTAGAGTTCTTGTGTTATGTAGGTTTTTGGGTACTTTAAGACTATCAAGTTATTTCCGTTTAATGATCTTGACCATCTTTCACAGTATTAAAACAATTTCATAACACATCCTTTCAAGAACCAAACATCCTGAAGTTATTTTGTTTTTGCTCTAGCTTGATGGAAAGAAGGATAAGTTGCTATTTTATTTGTTTCAATAAATGACCTTGCCAGGTCATTTGGGTCAAAGTGTTAAAAAAGTAAATAAAAGTTTCAGTTTCTTAAGAACCACAAATGCAAACATGACATGTAGCCAGCTGGAATAAAAGACTGAAGTTTGTTGAAATAAATAATCATGACAAATATCAAGATACCAGGAGATAAAAGTAAAAAAGTTCAGCGTACAAGTACAATGTATCTATTTTTAATACTTACTGATGACATATACATCTCCTGATTTGTGTTTGATCCTCATTCAAGGTCATAGAATTCAAAAGTGTTAAATTTCAAATGACGACTTTCCAAGATTCACAATGTCTACAGTCCTGATAATTGACCTCTACACGTAGATTTCATGGGAGAAAGCTATAGATTGATCAAGCTGATAACCTTGACTTACATTCAAGGTCAGGGGTAACATGTCAAATAGTCCAAGGCCTGGAGCCGTCATATTTAAACAGTAGCTTGCAGGGTGAAGGGCAATGAAATTGTGCAAATACATGAACCTGACAGACAGAATAGCTACAATGGAGAGTAGAAGAGGAAAGAGTAACACTACTGAACTTGTTATTGGTGAAAGTTTAGAAAGACTTATAGTCAACCTGTTGTATTTCTTAGGACCCATCATTCCACTTAAGTGTAGGTTGGTGTGTTGGAAACGCCCTCTCTGATGTCACTGGAGCACAAAGACAGCAGCTACAGGTCAGTAGTGTACTTTATATAATGATTGGGTAGTACTATATCATGTCAGTAGTGTACTTTATATAATGATTGGGTAGTACTATATCATGTCAGTGGTGTACTTTATATAATGATTAGGTAGATATATATCATGTCAGTAGTGTACTTTATATAATGATTAGGTAGTACTATATCATGTCAGTAGTGTACTTTATATAATGATTAGGTAGTACTATATCATGTCAGTAGTGTACTTTATATAATGATTAGGTAGTACTATATCATGTCAGTAGTGTACTTTATATAATGATTGGGTAGTACTATATCATGTCAGTAGTGTACTTTATATAATGATTGGGTAGTACTATATCATGTCAGTAGTGTACTTTATATAATGATTGGGTAGTACTATATCATGTCAGTAGTGTACTTTATATAATGATTGGGTAGTACTATATCATGTCAGTAGTGTACTTTATATAATGATTGGGTAGTACTATATCATGTCAGTAGTGTACTTTATATAATGATTGGGTAGTACTATATCATGTCAGTAGTGTACTTTATATAATGATTGGGTAGTACTATATCATGTCAGTAGTGTACTTTATATAATGATTGGGTAGTACTATATCATGTCAGTAGTGTACTTTATATAATGATTGGGTAGTACTATATCATGTCAGTAGTGTACTTTATATAATGATTGGGTAGTACTATATCATGTCAGTAGTGTACTTTATATAATGATTAGGTAGTACTATATCATGCCAGTAGTGTACTTTATATAATGATTGGGTAGTACTATATCATGTCAGTAGAGTACTTTATATAATGATAGGGTAGTACTATATCATGTCAGTAGTGTACTTTATATAATGATTGGGTAGTACTATATCATGTCAGTAGTGTACTTTATATAATGATTGGGTAGTACTATATCATGTCAGTAGTGTACTTTATATAATGATTGGGTAGTACTATATCATGTCAGTAGTGTACTTTATATAATGATTGGGTAGTACTATATCATGTCAGTAGTGTACTTTATATAATGATTGGGTAGTACTATATCATGTCAGTAGTGTACTTTATATAATGATTGGGTAGTACTATATCATGTCAGTAGTGTACTTTATATAATGATTGGGTAGTACTATATCATGTCAGTAGTGTACTTTATATAATGATTGGGTAGTACTATATCATGTCAGTAGTGTACTTTATATAATGATTGGGTAGTACTATATCATGTCAGTAGTGTACTTTATATAATGATTGGGTAGTACTATATCATGTCAGTAGTGTACTTTATATAATGATTGGGTAGTACTATATCATGTCAGTAGTGTACTTTATATAATGATTGGGTAGTACTATATCATGTCAGTAGTGTACTTTATATAATGATTGGGTAGTACTATATCATGTCAGTAGTGTACTTTATATAATGATTGGGTAGTACTATATCATGTCAGTAGTGTACTTTATATAATGATTGGGTAGTACTATATCATGTCAGTAGTGTACTTTATATAATGATTGGGTAGTACTATATCATGTCAGTAGTGTACTTTATATAATGATTGGGTAGTACTATATCATGTCAGTAGTGTACTTTATATAATGATTGGGTAGTACTATATCATGTCAGTAGTGTACTTTATATAATGATTGGGTAGTACTATATCATGTCAGTAGTGTACTTTATATAATGATTGGGTAGTACTATATCATGTCAGTAGTGTACTTTATATAATGATTGGGTAGTACTATATCATGTCAGTAGTGTACTTTATATAATGATTGGGTAGTACTATATCATGTCAGTAGTGTACTTTATATAATGATTGGGTAGTACTATATCATGTCAGTAGTGTACTTTATATAATGATTGGGTAGTACTATATCATGTCAGTAGTGTACTTTATATAATGATTGGGTAGTACTATATCATGTCAGTAGTGTACTTTATATAATGATTGGGTAGTACTATATCATGTCAGTAGTGTACTTTATATAATGATTGGGTAGTACTATATCATGTCAGTAGTGTACTTTATATAATGATTGGGTAGTACTATATCATGTCAGTAGTGTACTTTATATAATGATTGGGTAGTACTATATCATGTCAGTAGTGTACTTTATATAATGATTGGGTAGTACTATATCATGTCAGTAGTGTACTTTATATAATGATTGGGTAGTACTATATCATGTCAGTAGTGTACTTTATATAATGATTGGGTAGTACTATATCATGTCAGTAGTGTACTTTATATAATGATTGGGTAGTACTATATCATGTCAGTAGTGTACTTTATATAATGATTGGGTAGTACTATATCATGTCAGTAGTGTACTTTATATAATGATTGGGTAGTACTATATCATGTCAGTAGTGTACTTTATATAATGATTGGGTAGTACTATATCATGTCAGTAGTGTACTTTATATAATGATTGGGTAGTACTATATCATGTCAGTAGTGTACTTTATATAATGATTGGGTAGTACTATATCATGTCAGTAGTGTACTTTATATAATGATTGGGTAGTACTATATCATGTCAGTAGTGTACTTTATATAATGATTGGGTAGTACTATATCATGTCAGTAGTGTACTTTATATAATGATTGGGTAGTACTATATCATGTCAGTAGTGTACTTTATATAATGATTGGGTAGTACTATATCATGTCAGTAGTGTACTTTATATAATGATTGGGTAGTACTATATCATGTCAGTAGTGTACTTTATATAATGATTGGGTAGTACTATATCATGTCAGTAGTGTACTTTATATAATGATTGGGTAGTACTATATCATGTCAGTAGTGTACTTTATATAATGATTGGGTAGTACTATATCATGTCAGTAGTGTACTTTATATAATGATTGGGTAGTACTATATCATGTCAGTAGTGTACTTTATATAATGATTGGGTAGTACTATATCATGTCAGTAGTGTACTTTATATAATGATTGGGTAGTACTATATCATGTCAGTAGTGTACTTTATATAATGATTGGGTAGTACTATATCATGTCAGTAGTGTACTTTATATAATGATTGGGTAGTACTATATCATGTCAGTAGTGTACTTTATATAATGATTGGGTAGTACTATATCATGTCAGTAGTGTACTTTATATAATGATTGGGTAGTACTATATCATGTCAGTAGTGTACTTTATATAATGATTGGGTAGTACTATATCATGTCAGTAGTGTACTTTATATAATGATTGGGTAGTACTATATCATGTCAGTAGTGTACTTTATATAATGATTGGGTAGTACTATATCATGTCAGTAGTGTACTTTATATAATGATTGGGTAGTACTATATCATGTCAGTAGTGTACTTTATATAATGATTGGGTAGTACTATATCATGTCAGTAGTGTACTTTATATAATGATTGGGTAGTACTATATCATGTCAGTAGTGTACTTTATATAATGATTGGGTAGTACTATATCATGTCAGTAGTGTACTTTATATAATGATTGGGTAGTACTATATCATGTCAGTAGTGTACTTTATATAATGATTGGGTAGTACTATATCATGTCAGTAGTGTACTTTATATAATGATTGGGTAGTACTATATCATGTCAGTAGTGTACTTTATATAATGATTGGGTAGTACTATATCATGTCAGTAGTGTACTTTATATAATGATTGGGTAGTACTATATCATGTCAGTAGTGTACTTTATATAATGATTGGGTAGTACTATATCATGTCAGTAGTGTACTTTATATAATGATTGGGTAGTACTATATCATGTCAGTAGTGTACTTTATATAATGATTGGGTAGTACTATATCATGTCAGTAGTGTACTTTATATAATGATTGGGTAGTACTATATCATGTCAGTAGTGCACTTTATATAATGATTAGGTAGTACTATATCATGTCAGTAGTGTACTTTATATAATGATTAGGTAGATATATATCATGTCAGTAGTGTACTTTATATAATGATTGGGTAGTAATATATCATGTTCGTAGTGTACTTTATATAATAGGTAGGTAGTTATATATAATGTATAATATTACGGTCGATATGACTGTTATAAGATGTCGTACCGATTAAGAAATAAATGATTAGAACTCTCACTAACAGTGTCGGTGTTTTATTGACAGGCAGTCCTGGACGAACATCTACATACCGATCCTGACCTTAAACTCATCCATGTGGACCAGATCCGGTGTAAGGCTGGCAACAAGTCCTTCACCTTCAGCCTGGGCACGTGACACCTATTAAATATGTTTTATATTATGCCGTGTCCTGTTGTGTTTCTTGTGTCTTGTTTTCTGGGGATACTTATTTTGATAAAATTGTGGAAGTAAGATTTAATATTGTACATGACCACTACTTTAATTTTCCTCTACGACAGTTGTCACATATATAGGTCATGGTCATTGGGTACAGTAAAACCTCCCTGTCAGAGAGATTCACGCCCGAGCTATTGGTTGGAACGTTTACAGCATGGATCAAGGTCGCTGGTAAAAAGCATACCTGTCACATATATCACACGAAACGGCCAAGGTGCTTGATAGAAGGTCTTAGTTGACAGGTGTCTTAGGTTAAGGTCAAGGCTGGGAAGAAAGTCACTTGTTGATAGTTCAAATGTAGGTCAAGGTCGATGGGAAGATGGAGAGGACACCGTCAGTATGAATTTATCACTAAACTATAATGATAGATTGTAACTGATCATACTAACTGTAACGGTAATACTGTACAATTGTATTGTGGCCGTTAACTATTAAAACATCGACATCGTACAGAAGTGATAAACTGCATTCTATGATCATGTAAGAAGGATTGGAAAGAAAAAAAATGATAACAACCTAAACTGAGATACTTGACCTGCTGAGTAGTGATTTAGGTTTAGAATGACTTGACGAGTCTGTTGTAGTACAATCAACACCTCGCGACCTTCTCAGTTATTAAGCATTTTTAAAATCGAATAATGTGCGAATATTTAAATAATTAACAGCAATAATTCAAACCATTGATCAGATTGTACACAGATACAGATAGTACACATGTACAGACGGGGTGAACGAGTGCGTCCTAAATGACATTGACCTCCTTGGTGAATTGACAGTGTGACCGTATATCTACTGGAGTGTCAAAGTTCACCAGACCATCAGTACTTATCTCGTCATTGAACTTTAGTATGTGATATCAAACCACTGTTTTTACAAACGACTTGTCTGACATTATTTGTAAATATATTTGAAATAAATAAAATGTTAAGTGCTTACGACACACCTGTAGACGCAGGTAATACGCAATACAGACGTTTATACAGAGACATTTAATCTAGAGGTCCTTTTTTTTTGTAAACAAATCTTTTTTTACATTTCTGTACATTCAGTACACTACGTTTGGGTTAACTATAAGCACTCTTGCATTAGGAAACGGAATCAAAATATGCGTGCGCGTCTCATTCAGTGAGTGAAAACGAACCATTTTTGTTTAAGCCAAACTCCTTTAATCATGGACAATTGCTTCATTAATATGGGTATGCCACAAGAAAAACATAAAAAAATATATATTTTCAAAACGTACATAACATCAATGTCCGGGAAAATTCCTACATTCACTGAAAACCCAGAATAAGTATGGTGTCATGTTGTAGACGCACTCCATGCTGTAAACATACAATTTATTATATATTTGCCAGTGATATACAATAATTACACGTATATAGATGTTATCACACGGCCAGTTCGATAGCTCACCCCGTCTCAACCCGAGACCTCCATTTAAGCCCGAGGGCTGATAGCCTATGGGTCGAGGGTAAGCTATGTAAATGGTCATATCATAACCTACTGCATCAAAATCATCGGCAATATCACAGACGAGTGAGACTGAGATGTGAGTTTTGTGGAACCGGGAGTAAAACGGAGCTGGCGCGTGCTGGGCAGAATGGCGCAGAATGGGCAGAATCTTGTATTTATAAAACAGTTTATTAGATAGTATTGAAAAATGTGGGAAGGGTGCACTTATTGCCGATTTAAGAATTAATATACCAACACAAGCAGATGACCTATGTCTGGTCAGTACACAACGTAAGAGCTTACACTACATGCTCGAGATGTGCGAAGCGTACAGCAGAAAGGGGCGTTTCACATTTTCTGCAGTTAAAAGTAAAATAGTGTATTTCTGTAGAAAAAAGAAGCGAAATCTTAGTACGGAATTATATCTATATGGGCATCTTCTTCCAGAAGTTGAGGATATAACACATGTTGGTGTGATGTTGAACTATAATTTTAATAGTATGGAACGTACAGTACGTGCATGTAATAAGCTGAAGAGTGGTGTCATGAGTTTGATTAAAAGTGGTGCTCATCCATGTGCATTAAATCCTTTAACGATTAGTAAAATACTTAAATCAAAAGTATATGCTTCAGCCCTATATGGTTGTGAATTATGGTGTCTTCCAAAAAACGAAATTTTAATGTTAGAAAGAGCACAACGTTTTATTTTAAAGTCAATTCAAGGGTTCCATACAAGAACCCGTACAGATATGTGCACAGGCCTTCTAGGGTGGTTAAGTTTAGAAGCATACATAGATACCAAGAAATTATTATTGTTTGGAAGATTATGCAACTTGGAGAAAAATTGTATATCTTATCTTGTGTTTTTTACTCGTCTTTTTATGGCAGTTATAGGGACCAATGTGTATAATAATGGATTTATGAATGAAGTAATTAGAGTTCTAAAGAAATATGATTTATACAAATTAGTACAAGAATGTTTATCAAATGGAATATTTCCAGTGAAAAGTATATGGAAAGCGAAAGTAAAGCATAATGTACAGTTATATGAAGAAAAAGGATGGAAGGAGAGAATGAGTGGTGACCGCGATTTCTGCAGATTTATATTTGTTCATGATAATTTGGCTCCTCATATATTGTGGAAATTGTTAATAAAATTTCCTCAAAACAGAGAAGCCATACATAGTATAATGAAATTGATTGTATCTCTAAGACATTCAGAAAAAACTGAATTATGTCATAAATGTGGACAAATGTATAACGATATATATACCCACATAGTTTTACAATGTGATTGTACAGAAGACTTACGAGATCAGTTATGGTGTCAAGTCATTAATGCATGTGAACTTATGTTTAGCGTATATTTACACTCTCATTCAGACTATGAATTGTTTCACCTACTGATTGGTGGCAATATAACGTATGAACTGAATACATTAGAGTTAACAGAATTTCGTATGGCATCAGTCAATCATATTTCAAAAATGCTTAATGCATACTTCATATGAATATTCAATACTTTTGTGTATATCAATCTTAACATTATTAATTATGTATTCTTTTGTAAACTGTACTTAAATTGATTAACCTATTACCATTATGTTAACTTATTACGTTGTGCACTAATTTTACCTTACCATCTTTTGATTTTGCATTTATTATCTAATTTATCATTGTAACTACATTATTCTGTTTGTAAAATCTTCTTAAAGGAGGAAATAAAGAGAATAATAATAACAATATTACACACGTGAGAACGAAATGTTATCGTGACGTAATCATACGATATATATATATGTTATTGTTTTATCTCCGCGTTAAGTGGACAATACCGTCGTACAATGTTCATTGATAAAGTGACTGACACCGTTTCACAATAACGAATTAAGTTATTTTAGCTGCAAATTGGAATTAAAATGCACGTTGCTGTATCAATGTTACTTTAAACAACATTCTTTATCCATAATTTACATATTCAAACAATCTTTACAAGTAGAATATAGCAAGAATTGGGAAACGGGTAAGTAATAATTGCTCCCGTCCGTTACGTTACGGCAAAGTGAACATGAACATTTTCAGACGTAATGAAGATAGATATCAAGTTAATTGTGAAATCCGAGATAACAGCTGTTCTACTTTGCAGACGCGGAGCTGATGACATTTTAATCCGGAGTCAGGTAACAGACGTAATTGAGGCGAGGTAAACAACGTATTATATCTCACTGGTATGTTCTTTGTACCCGACGCAGGCTGGTGGAGGTCAAAGTCAAATCACGTAATTAAACGGCCAACAGGACGACCGACAGTTACAGGTTCGGATTCATACCCGCCGGTTGTTGACCTTCCGTACAACTGACCATCTAGCGGTCCCATAGCTGACGGAAGAGTGACCAACAGATAGTGGATTCCGCAAAGTGAAAACCTGTACTTCTGTAGGTTTGTATTACAATTTCATATATCCGCTCACAATAACATGTTCTAAGTAACAAAACTTAAGCTGAAAGGGGTAAACGCAGGAAAAGAAATATTAAATATGAAAAAAGGTAAGTTGGTTTTACGGCAAACATACCTCGGTTTACCTTAAATGTAGTGTAGTATTCGATTTCATATTCCTTGTTATTGTTTTTACCATTCAATTCTTCTTATTCAGTTAACACAAACAAATTATAAACCGATAGAAAAACCATAGAGCTAATTTTGATGAAACATCCATAATTTCTCGTTTATTTTTTAAGTAACCGTTTCCCTCTTAGCCTTTGTTCATGTATTCTTACGCCAAAATGACGTCAATTAAATTCAACTAAAACAAAAATGGCTGAAAGATAAAACCTTAGATAATATATGAAATATATGTTGATTGTTTGAGAAATTGGATCTGAATGCTGTTATTTCATTGGAAATAAATATTTTAATACATAGCGTATAATTAATTTAGACCGAATGTTTTGGCGCGTCACTGTACAAGACACATAACTATGTACATGGCGATCCCGTAATAGTCTAAACCTGGTAAGTAGAAGTTATCCGTGTTTTGGGTTGTTGGTGTTTGGTGTCATGATCAGATGACCAGCTGACCGACTAACCAGCTGTATATATTAGTCGATTACAATGGCATACGTACGAGATGGCGTGACAGTTGATCTGATTTGATAAAAGCTGAACGACCTATCAGTATACATTATTATATACAGGGCAAAAATAGGTACGAAATGGATAATGTTAACACATGAAACAGGAACGTAAACATTAAAATAGATTTATTTTAAATAATAAAAACGGCAGAGTTAGATTCTACAATATAAACTGTATTTCTTAGGATAGTCAATAGTAAAAATAAAATAAATCGTTCATATCATTAGCTTTGTGAGATCTGTCCCAGATTTGATGGAGATCTCACGTCTATCCTAATGAGTTTGGTCAATGGTTTGGAAGGTTAGAAAGGTACGGACGTGTGGTGAAAGGTACGGACGTGACGTGTGGTGAAAGGTACGGACGTGTGGTGAAAGGTACGGGGCTGAGAAAGGAGTGACCAAGTCTCAGGTGAGCAATGGTCAGACCGAGACACTATTCAAAATCAGTCTTTCTGATGGAGTGTAATTTAGTCTTCCATTCTGACCTTGGCGATCGTGAGTTGTATTGTCTTTTTACGTGCTATGTTACCAACCTTCATCTGTTTTTGTTCAATACGTTTGGATTTAACTGTGGTCTTAGCGACTTGAAAGTTTGAAAAACTTTGATGAAAAGTCCACCATTGATAGTTTCGGTAGAATCCCTTTCCACGTAACCAATATTTGTAGTTATGTAGGGGACATTTATTTGGCCCCGAACTAATCCTAAAAGGTGTTTTAATTAACATATTCCCATAAAAGAGCTTTGTGCGGAAAAGGGAAATATTTCGTGTCTTAATATATTTTGTTTGTTACAAAATTTAGAAAACAAAACGCTGCACTGGTGGTCCAAAATCCCAATTATTTAACTTAATCTTTTTTTCAGCAATGTCTTTATAAAGGAAAATAAATAATGAATTGTTTTAAAACAGTTATCAATGTACATGCTGCTCCGGATATTGGTAAAACGGAGACATTTGATTAAACATTTTATTAAGGATAAGAGAAAACACATACGAACAATCAAAATTTGGTTTTAATTGTTTCTTATTTTGTGGTTGAAGAGTCTATAGGACCAGCGCGACTCACCTTGGCCTTAGTCTTTTCAATCACGAAATAAGAAACGTCATCATACAGGTCTTTTAAAAAAGTCATTTGTATTGATGACGTATCTTAGAAACTCCACAGAGTCTTATTTACCAACATCAGCGTGTCTCGCAGTAATATTTCCCTGAACGATTGAAGGGGGCGCAGATAGTTCCCGCTTTATTAATAAAATATATCGATAAAATGAACAAATCACGTATCAGTCATCTTCATCCTGTCTTTAAGATTTTTAGGTTACCTGAGACAAAGTCTCAAGTGACCTATTGCGATCGCCTTTTGTCCGGCGTCGTGCGTCCGTAAACAAGTTACATTTTCGATTTTTTTTCCAAAACCCCTGAACCAATTTCAATGAAATTTTGCAGACACCTGCAATGGCCAAAGGACAACCAAAATTGTGAATGATATGGTCCCCAGCCCCCAGGGGCCTGCTGTCAGTTTTGGATAGCAGTTTGATGATATTCACAAATCAGCCCTGACTGGCCCCCAGGGGCTGATGGATGGGGTCAAAAAGGGTTGAATTGACTGAAATTTCAAAAATCTTCTTCTCAAGACCCAGGTATGGTAGAATCAAATACTCCTCAAAGATGGAAGGGTCTTAAGGTGCTTTACCAAAATAGTGAATTTCATGACCCTGGGGTCTCACGTTTCCCCCTGGAGAAGGGGTAAACTAGACTATAATTTCATTGTGAATTATATGGTCCCCAGCCCCCAGGAGCCTGAGGGGCGTGGGCCAAAAAGGGTCAAATTGACTAAAATTTCAAAAATCTTCTTCTCAAGACCCAGATAATTTTATGGTAGAATCAAATACTCTTCATAGATGGAAGGGTCTTAATGTGTTTTACCAAAATTCAGCTGACTGACAGAACCAATATTTGTGCATAGTACATATACTACCCAGATCTTTCACACTACTTTTGCATTACATGTCGTTCAAGTTAACTTTGTTACAAAATGTTTTCTTTTTCATTTGGCAACATCGATAACATCAGTTTTTACATAACTTAGGTGACCGTTATGGCCCATGGGCCTCTTGTTGAAAAAACAATTTGCAATCAAGTGAATGCCATTTTTACCCATTATCCATTTTATGCAGCCTTCTAAATGGGATTTGGGTGCAAAACCTACCTGTTGCGATTTGTTGTGGCGACTGGTTGAAAGTGCAGAACGGATACAAAAATGTGTCAGCCCTCTGCATTGGACTGACTTTTAAATGATAAGGATTTTAATATGCGAAAACTTATAAACTTCATTTGTACATAACCTGCAAGCTTTTTATTATTTAAATGAAGAAACTGTAGATTTAAGAGAATACAAGAACTGACTGAACAAAATTATAATCGAAGCAAATGACGTCAAAACCAGATGATAATGAATCAGTTCCTGTGTGTTCAGGTGATGGGACAAGTCATAGTCCATGATTGTTTATTGGATTAGGAATCTGTTGAACAATAAACTACTGAACTATGTGTACTTGTAGAGTCTTACTATTCTGTCCTGACCGCTTCCTGGATATGACGATACTTTCTGTTTATTCATGTGGTACACCGATTTACATTCACTTACAAAGTAGTCATACGATGTTAATATCAGTCATGTTGAATTAAAAACGCTTTTATAAGTGAAAGTGAAAAGAAAACCCCAAAACACTACAGTTATGTCTATCATATATTTTCATGGAATTAAATGACAACTTTAGATGACACTAAAATTCTGTCATACAGTGTGCTTTCTACATTTTGTAGGATGGCTAATACCGTGTGGCTCATTCTAGTATGTTGCGTAGCTGTGAACGCAGGGGAAATAACCCTACAGACCTACAATGTCGGCCTCAACCCTCGAGTTGAAAACATGGAGATAAGAAAAGATGCTGTTATTCCAGAGCTCCGACACAACGGAAGTGACGTTGTTTGTCTACAAGAGGTACGACTTGAATGAACTAGTGGTATTCATTGATTGCTAACTTCCGTGTTAGCCTATTTATTGCTATAATTTCTGTAATATCAAAGGTAGATGAAATGACTTAATAACCTTTAAACTACACTGCAGATTTGGAGAAGTGGAGACGTTTCGCAAATCATCGAGTCCCTCAAAGATGTATACCCGTACTCCCTGAGTCCACTCCATGATGAGACGGGATCCTTCAACTACAGAACGTTTTGGCCGCCATGCTTTAGCTGGACAGCCGTGACCTTTGCGACTTGTGCACTTACGTATTGTCGGAATGAGCCGACGGAGGAGGATGTGGTACGCTGCGTGGTGTCGTGTGGGTTCGTGGATGTGTCCCGAGAGTGTTTATCCTGCGTGGTGATAGGGGGGACCTTTGCTTCCCTTCGGGCTTGTGTGTATGGCTTCGGCTACAACTACAACCCTCAGGGCCTTCTCTTGCTCAGCAAGCGACCACTCTACGAAGGATCGGTGACAAGCTATTTTCCTGCTACTAAGACCATAGCACAGCGGGCGTACGTCAAAGCTGATGTAAGTAAAAACGCAACACAAAACCACAACAAACTGTTGGTGATAAAAGCGGTATAAATACATGTACTTGTGATGCACGTGTTGTAAACAGAGAGAAAACTGAATTGGGAAGAAACTATGCAAGGCAGACTGATATCAAATGATCATCGGAACTGGATAATTTAACCGAAAAAGAATAAATATTTCGAAATTAAACATGAACATTGATTAGAATGTCTCGAACGGTGATAATGCTGACGTCATCTTCTTTGGCTTATCATTGTCATGGTAATATCGTTCAGTACAATCCAACAGTGCTTTTAATACAGGCAACGTTTCTGTTTTGTGTAGGTGGAAGATTTCGGCCCCGTTGTTTGTACACACATGACGCCATACCTCGGAGATTTCTACCTTGAACGTAAGTATTTTGTGTTATACCACGGACTTTGAAAGCAAATCTAATTCCGTGGTTAAACATACCAGGCAATACCCGGATGTAGAGTGGATTAAATGGTAGTAGGGGCCATCTCCTGATGTGGAGTGGTATAGATGGCAGTGAGTTGATACCCCGTTGTTTAGTGGTTTGAATCTTTGTGAGGACCTACGTACCCGAATGCGGTTGGTTTAAGATGGTGTTGAGGAATATACAAAAAATGTACCCATATGTCAGGGATGTGCGTATGTGGAGTGTTTAGATTGCCGGGAGGATTACTAGGGAACGAAACCTTGGAAAACTTAGATAAATTCAACTTCTTTATGTTTTCATTCCTGCTTTGTAATGAGTAATTACTATGGTTTGATAGTTTAACGGTCCTTCATGACGTCTCGGCGATAAACAGTCGTCTACGTGGTATGTGTGTGCCATACAGTTTACTACATAGTTGGTGGTGAATGGTCATACAGCCAATTTCAGGCGTTGTAATTACGTATATGATCTGATGCAAGTTTCCATATTTTATTTCCATTTTATATCAGATGTAATCAGAAAGATGAGAACTTCAGGATGAGTTTAAAAATCAAAATTCAAAATCGTAACGGATTCAGATTCCTTATTTATTTTTCTTTTTTTTCGTCAAATTTTTACATTAGTATACAATACAGTTACAATATTTACATTACATTACATAAAACAAACATATATAAAGACACACACACTCATTCATTATCATACAAATACCAATACAATTATCAGACAGGAAATGTAGGATTGTTGAAAATTTGTATTATATCTTGAATTTCTCTGTAAGCTAGCTGTCAGTGTGAGCGTAATCAATATTTACATTTACTCAATTTAACAATTACATATATTTATAAATTGATAAGTTACTTGATAAAAGAAATTTACCACGAGACCATTTTAAAGTAAATGACGTCATGTTTACTTTCCTATTATAACAGCGGTTACAAAGGACATACTACATATACTGTTTTTATAAATTATATAACATTAATGCGTTCGTTTATTCGTACGCTATACACACTCTGAATGTCTTTGTTCGCGACATTAACTTTTAATAATGCGATGTCAGACATGTGTATGACGACAATAGCCATTGTAAGTTGTAACCGAGCCACAGAGGTGTCCTTCGGTAGCACCATATGGGCCTAACGATGTTGTAATCAGGTACACTATGTATCATGGACTGGTGGAATTTTGGGGCACACTGAAGGTTTTCAAATATTCAAACCATACTTGAAATATTAAAGAAATGATGATAGATCCTCTTAAGGAAATACGTGTTTAACCCTTTATATTGATAAGGGTTTTGATTTAACCTTCCCAAACCTAACGTCAGTAATGCTCATTACAGCAAGCCTGATGGACAGGTTCCGGGGCTGGGCGGACCAGAGCCAGTATGAGGCCGGCGTCCTCGTCAGTCAGTTTGCCAGAGACCCAAAAGGCGTCATCATGGGGGATCTAAACACGGGCCCGGCCCTCCCCAGACAGGGCGTCCGGCCCCACATGGCAGGTAAAGTGACAAACCGCTGGATTCTGTGTTTATCCAAACCTTTGTCACACCCGTTCTTTGTACATAAATAGTTATAAGACCGTTGTCTATGCTGAAAAGATCTTTCTGATATAAGGTGAGATTTCATTTCATATGCTGTTTTTGAAACGCCTTCTTGCGAGATAAAATTGAAAAAGTCATCATTTTCATGTATTGATCGTGACACGTTTAAACATATTATGTTTGAAAAGATGTTAAATTTACAGTTGATTTTCTTGGCAACCAAAATGCTATATTAAAATATGCAGTATTGGCCTTAAGTTTATTTCAACCAAAACTTCTGAACCTATCAAATTCAACCGTAATGTTTCACAATAGTGTGACATACGTACCAAAACTACAGGTACATAGCCATAACATAGGAGAACAACATAGTTAAAGTAAGCTTGGTAAAGAGTTCGCTTGGTCCTAATGGTAAATAAAAATTTCATCACTACAGCCTCCTACAACGAGTTCGTGTTCAGCCATTGGGTGTCGCCTTTCGTGGATCGCGTGGGGGCGTGTACCTTCTGTAAGGAAAACGTCCTTACGTTTGACAACGAGAGTTGGATCCTGGACCACGTGCTGATGAAAGGACACAACGTCCTGGACACCAAGGTAAAGCTGACATTTTAAAAAACATCTAATGAACCATCATTCCGCCTCAAAAATGTCTTAAAATGATGCATGTAAACCTAACTAAACTAGAATCCTACTTGTTCAGTGCGTGTATTATATTATAGTGTCTTTGTCATTTTTCATACATATTCGTTGTAAATTGTTATTCGTTTGATATCAGATGATGAAGTATATTCAAAGTTGGTTAATCAACATCTAATAAAAATAACCTTTGTTGCATGGTTAGTTATATGTAATGAAAAGCTGTAGGCGCAGAATCTAATAACAAGCAAGCTACATACCTTGACTCCAACTTCAGCAGCTTCCGGTTATTGTTAAATTTCAATTCTCAATTCCATCCTTTCAGCTTCTTCATATGACAAACATTGACGGCCAGACCTTCCCCGTATCTGACCATTACGGGGTGGAAGTTACCTTTGAGGACGAATTCTGATCGGCGACCATTGACCTCGGCTGACCTCTACCTCATCAATGTGACATTTTACGTGGACAATTAAAGGAAATCGCCTGTGTTACAGTTATAAATCCCGGTGTTACAGTTATAAATCCCGGTGTTGCGACTGTAGATATTCGGCCTTCAATGTGTTACTGGTTAAAGGGGCTGGTCGGGGAAAAAATTACAAAATAAATGGGTCTAAATGCGTTCTCTGGCCTTCCAAAAATCTGGGTCAATTAAGAGTTTTAGACTCTCAGGTGACGATTTAGGATTTCTTTAATATAATTATAATTTTTACTCTGAGGGAGTGAATTTCAGCAAAATTTGTATCGGTATATTTCATAAGAAGGTATTTTAAACATGTGTATGCCATTTTAGCAAATATGACATTTTTTCCCCGACCAGCCCCTTTAACTGTTGGAGTCGTAGTGTTTACCAGTCAATGCATCTTGTATTATGTATTATTCGTCCTTATTTGTATGTCTTTCTTTCCATCACAAATTATCATTCTTGTATTCCATAGGTAATAATTACTACACGAATCTGTATGATCTGCATTGATGTCACCTTAGCATTTTTATTGATATTAGAATAATTCAACCTTGGTAGACGACAATCATGGCGAGAGATGGCGATACGGAGAGAGTATAGGGGACAGGAAGAGTAAATTAGGGTTTAGTAGGATGAAGGAGGGAGAAAAGGGAAGACGGGTAGATAAAGAGAAATGGAAGAGCGGAATTAAAATAATCAGACTTTATTCATGTGGTTATATAAACATTTGGGATAATAGGTTATTGTTTGGGAAGCTAATAAACTCGCACGTCTCAAAAATAAGCAAAAACATGAAATCCCCGCTTGTTTACATAAACAGAGAGAAGGAGACGTAAGAGTAGAAGACGACCGGGAGGCACACATATATAACGGTCTAACCGTAGCTTCTTTCCCCCGTATAATGGGTTAAATCATTGACAAAGAATAGAACTGGATCCTACATCATCATCAACCATTAGTAATGTAGTCGTTGAGAGGCGAACGAGACTAAACGGGTAGACTTCAGCATTAAAGTAAATACTTAGATATACATACTTGATCTGTTGTAAGTTTTTGTTTTTATTTTGGAACTTGTTTTCGTTGTTTTGATCTTGAATCGAACAACACTTAGGCCATAATAAATTATTTGCTAGATTCTCATCCCCGCCCGCCCCCTCTTTGAGGCCCCGCCCCATTTTTTTTTATTTGCGAAAAAAAAACGAAAATACGAAATACGTTTTTTTTTTCCGTTTTCCCCTTCAAAAATTAGTTATATATTTCCGGTTGTACTCGTCGTCTGTAATATGGTTTTGTAATTCTAAAGCTGAAACGGCAACTTGCCGTTCTGAAAGATTGGTATGGGTGTTCAGTAGCCGATACTAAAACATTAATGCAAGTCTTTCATGAATTAGCCGAAGGAACAATTGACAAATCTGCGCCCGTCGAGTGTGGTAACAGGGCCGTTGTGTCGGCCGGTAAATCGAAAGTGGAACTGACCCAGTGTGATGGCGCATGTACGGTGGGGGAAGTGGTGTCGTACCTCGGAGCTTATTTAGAATTTAATATTGATGCTGATACAGAAGAGCAGTCGGCAACTGCCATTGCGAAATCCGACGCATTTACAATTTTAATGTCGGGATTTTCGAAAGCAACAATGACAAGGTCACTGTAATTAAAAGAGGACGATATGTGAAAAAGTAATGTGGTGTGTATTCATACCAAAAGTTAGTACAGATATATATGTGGACTGAACAGTGAAATGGTGTTCAATGTGTATACTGCATACTCAAAGTTGTTATTAACAAAAAATAAAGATAAATGTACACTGAACATGCGCCTTTATTGCACTATTTTAACACATTTGCAACCATTTCAAATTTTAGGAAAAATAAAAAATAAAAAATAAAATTCGCCCCCCCGCCCCAATTTTGAAAAGAATTTGGATGAGAATCTAGCAATTAATTTATTATGGCCTTAGCATATGTACTGAAACAGGAATGGTCGATAATTGGTATGTCAAAGTAATTTTCATTTCTGTAGGACGAGAGGAGCTAAAGTTGACATTGAAGCTCGGCGTTTAAAACAAATATACAATGTTACACCAATACAATATTAATACATTGAACCCGCACAGTCAGAGAAACATAGTTGCGCTACTTAATAGATCGTTTACTGATATTCTTAAAGCAGAGCAAACTAATGCTTTTGCTTCAATATCTAAACAAGATGCTGTAATGATTTACATAGTTGAATGGAAGTACAAATTGTCAAGCGTTTCAAGTTTATATGATTTTTCTAAGTATCAATAAAGACATTTTATTATGTACAAAACTGCTAATTTTGTTACATTAAATGAAACGAGATACAGTCTATCATACAAGCAAATCTAGTATTGAAATTCCACAGTTTTAGTTGTTAACTATCTTTTATAGTTGTTTAGTCTGAAGGTATTATCACAAATTTGGATCAAATATCAACAGAAACGACCCCCAGATACAAGAATTTAGAAGAACTGAATATAAAGTTGACGTTCTACAATAAATGCAGGGGAAAAAACATAAAGTATGTTTGTACCAACTTAATTATTTTACCAAGAGTAGTGATACTGAAAATCCACCATTTGACCCTTTGACCTTACGTTTTCCTTGGAAAGCTGTGGGAGATGTATCTGTGTATAAATGAAGCAGACGACCCGTGAAAGTTGACCTCGTCAACGATCTGACCTTTTAGTATCCAATGAGAATCATGCGACCACGTCATTGACCCTGCTTCGTACATACTCGGATATTTCCGTCCTAGTGGGAATATCGATTATCAATATTTATATGGAAAAATTTGTATGTGTTGAAAGTTGTCAGTATCAAATTATTTCTTTCTTTCCAAAATTTAAGCTCATTTAATCGACGGAAATACAATTTGTCATCTAATCACATTCTTTACGCACTCGTCGACGCCATTTGCTTGTAACATTCATGTAAGCTTTTTTGACCATTTCAATATTTTCTCTTTTCGATAGAAAAGTAAAGAAATCGTGAAAATAAACACGCCCAGTGTATTGAATATGGTCAACATTTTTTGAAAAAATCGTTGTTTCGAATGTCGCCCTAATATGAAAAGGCAAAGCCTAAAAAGAGCGTTGCTGTAGTTGATCTCTGATATTTACTGACTTAGAATGAGTTAATACTGATTTCAAAATGACGTAACTATAAACTTTAAGTCGGCGAGTCGAGGAATAACAATAAAACACAAGCTCTAATGAGATTTTAAGACCGACATAACAATTAGGGGCGACCAGGGCAAGTTCGCCCAATGTTATTAGTCCGTTCTGGGAAGTATGGCTTCACGTCCGTTTTCTGATTTAAAAAAAAAAATGTCGGAAGATCGGATGGCCAAATGAGCCCGTCATGGGGTAAGTTCGGAAAGTTCGGACACTTATTCGGGTAGGTTCGGCCCCCATTGGAATTAGCTTAATTATGACGTAATAAAGCATACAAGCTCAGATTTCTCCGCCAATATTACGGCTTTTTATACTGTATGTTGTATGGGCCGAGCTTGCCCCGGTATCATGGACCGAACTTGTCCGGGACCAATATTGATGTTTCAATAAATTCTTATAGTACAGCAATATGATAGTAAATGCTCGACTTGGTTTTTATGTATATCATTTGACCGTAAACAATAGCTATTCCATTCACAGAGAATTTTCATTACCATTTTTCCGTGTGACTGTCCAGCCAACTAAACTGCTATGTTCCTTAAAGTTGTAATTATTAGCTCAAAAACAAAAATGTGAGGGGTGGCCGAACTTGCCCCAGTCTCCCGTATGCAGGTTTTTTGTATCACAGATGATTGGTAATCATGTATTCACAATACATTTTTTTGCGTCAAAGACGCCATTTTCTTCCAGTCAAAACTAAAGTAGGTATTTGTTCTTGTGCGTAACTTATATGGTGGGCCGGGTGCACAGTGGATAGCGCGCTCGTCTCTACCAAGATGTTCGGATTCGAATCGTTCCCCGTCATCTGCCCGACCGACCACGCTGGTTTTCTCCTGATATTTCGTCTGGAAAATAACCTTAGATTAAAGCATGTTTACTAAGTTGGTAATAGGTCTCGCCATAACATTATTGGTGAGATGAAGAATCTTTTTGGTCCGATTTTCTTTATATTAATTGTATCATTTTTTCTTCACTTACCATTTTCATTCAGGCAGATCAGTGGTTTCTCTCATTGCTACAACACTAGGGTGATCTGCTCCGTCTTTACACCTTTATCAGTGGCAACATTTACGAAAAACCACATTAGAAATATAACAAACATCTGGTGGATGTTTCACTAGGTTGTCGTTTTCCTGATCGACGGATAGTGGACCAAAAGTCCGTCGACGTTGTTCCCCCGCCACACCGTTCAGCAAAATATAATTCGGTGGCCTGTCTTTTTAATGTTGTTACGTAATTTCTTTTGTTTCCTGAACAGGTTCCAGTTTTTGTCTGATTTACAAGGTTAAATTTACGAAATATAAGCTTTTCTTGTGATTTATTGCTTTCCGGAGTACAAATGTAAAAGTTGCCTTACTCTGACCACACATACCAGCGGACGGACTGGTTACTCGCTATACCTGTTGATATATTGGCTCGGTGTCGTTAATCCGCAGTACGCATGGAGGATGTCATTATGTAGAACGCTCCTATCTGTAGTAGCCGCATAAAGACCGTGCTTATTAGATACACGCGTTGACACGGCGTGGTCAGTGACTGCATCTACGCTTGCTATTGACAAGTGACAGGATTGTATTGTATATCTTTCTCACCTCCTGACAGCCTCGAGAAATCATCATGGCGGACCTAAAGTTATACTACTTCCCAACATCGTTCTACTCTCAGAAGGTAATAATATTAACGATGATGGACCAAACACAGAGCAGTGGTAAAGGAAACAGTTGTAAACCCTACATTTGCAAATGTAACTGTTGTATACCACACATGGGTAAATTTAATGTTGTATACCACACATGGATAAATATAACAGTTTTATACCACACATGGGTAACTGTAACAGTTGTATACCACACATAGGTAAATGTAACAGTTGTATACCACACATGGGTAAATGTAACTACTGTATACCACACATGGGTAAATGTAACAGTTTTATACCACACATGGGTAACTGTAACAGTTGTATACCACACATAGGTAAATGTAACAGTTGTATACCACACATGGGTAAATGTAACTACTGTATACCACACATGGGTAAATGTAACAGTTTTATACCACACATGGGTAAATGTAACAGTTGTATACCACACATAGGTAAATGTAACAGTTGTATACCACACATGGGTAAATGTAACTACTGTATACCACACATGGGTAAATGTAACAGTTTTATACCACACATGGGTAAATGTAACAGTTGTATACCACACATAGGTAAATGTAACAGTTGTATACCACACATGGGTAAATGTAACTACTGTATACCACACATGGGTAAATGTAACAGTTTTATACCACACATGGGTAAATGTAACTACTGTATACCACACATGGGTAAATGTAACAGTTTTATACCACACATGGGTAAATGTAACTACTGTATACCACACATGGGTAAATGTAACTACTGTATACCACACATGGGTAAATGTAACGGTTGTATACCACACATGGGTAAATGTAACTACTGTATACCACACATGGGTAAATGTAACTACTGTATACCACACATGGGTAAATGTAACAGTTGTATACCACACATGGGTAAATGTAACTACTGTATACCACACATGGGTAAATGTAACTACTGTATACCACACATGGGTAAATGTAACTGTTGTATACCACACATGGGTAAATGTAACAGTTGTATACCACACATGGGTAAATGTAACTACTGTATACCACACATGGGTAAATGTAACTACTGTATACCACACATGGGTAAATGTAACTGTTGTATACCACACATGGGTAAATGTAACAGTTGTTTACCACACATGGGTAAGTGTAACTACTGTATACCACACATGGGTAAATGTAACTACTGTATACCACACATGGGTAAATGTAACGGTTGTATACCACACATGGGTAAATGTAACTACTGTATACCACACATGGGTAAATGTAACTACTGTATACCACACATGGGTAAATGTAACTGTTGTATACCACACATGGGTAAATGTAACTATTGTTTACCACACATGGGTAAGTGTAACTACTGTATACCACACATGGGTAAATGTAACTACTGTATACCACACATGGGTAAATGTAACGGTTGTGTACCACACATGGGTAAATGTAACTACTGTATACCACACATGGGTAAATGTAACTGTTGTATACCACACATGGGTAAATGTAACTACTGTATACCACACATGGGTAAATGTAACTACTGTATACCACACATGGGTAAATGTAACTACTGTATACCACACATGGGTAAATGTAACTACTGTATACCACACATGGGTAAATGTAACTGTTGTATACCACACATGGGTAAATGTAACTACTGTATACCACACATGGGTAAATGTAACTGTTGTATACCACACATAGGTAAATGTAACAGTTGTTTACCACACATGGGTAAGTGTAACTACTGTATACCACACATGGGTAAATGTAACTACTGTATACCACACATGGGTAAATGTAACTGCTGTATACCACACATGGGTAAATGTAACTACTGTATACCACACATGGGTAAATGTAACTGTTGTATACCACACATGGGTAAATGTAACTACTGTATACCACACATGGGTAAATGTAACTGTTGTATACCACACATGGGTAAATGTAACTACTGTATACCACACATGGGTAAATGTAACTGTTGTATACCACACATGGGTAAATGTAACTACTGTATACCACACATGGGTAAATGTAACAGTTGTATACCACACATGGGTAAATGTAACTACTGTATACCACACATGGGTAAATGTAACAGTTGTATACCACACATGGGTAAATGTAACTACTGTATACCACACATGGGTAAATGTAACTACTGTATACCACACATGGGTAAATGTAACTGTTGTATACCACACATGGGTAAATGTAACAGTTGTATACCACACATGGGTAAGTGTAACTACTGTATACCACACATGGGTAAATGTAACTACTGTATACCACACATGGGTAAATGTAACAGTTGTATACCACACATGGGTAAATGTAACTACTGTATACCACACATGGGTAAATGTAACAGTTGTATACCACACATGGGTAAATGTAACTACTGTATACCACACATGGGTAAATGTAACTACTGTATACCACACATGGGTAAATGTAACTGTTGTATACCACACATGGGTAAATGTAACTACTGTATACCACACATGGGTAAATGTAACTACTGTATACCACACATGGGTAAATGTAACTGTTGTATACCACACATGGGTAAATGTAACTACTGTATACCACACATGGGTAAATGTAACTACTGTATACCACACATGGGTAAATGTAACTGTTGTATACCACACATGGGTAAATGTAACAGTTGTATACCACACATGGGTAAATGTAACTACTGTATACCACACATGGGTAACTGTAACGTTTTTTTTACCACACATGGGTAAATGTAACTACGGTATACCACACATGGGTAAATGTAACTACTGTATACCACACATGGGTAAATGTAACAGTTGTATACCACACATGGGTAAGTGTAACTACTGTATACCACACATGGGTAAATATAACTACTGTATACCACACATGGGTAACTGTAACGGTTTTTTACCACACATGGGTAAATGTAACTACTGTATACAACACATGGGTAAATGATGTGGTTGTATACCACACATAGGTAACTGTAACAGTTGTATACCACACATAGGTAAATGTAACAGTTGTATACCACACATGGGTAAGTGTAACTCCGTATACCACACATGGGTAACTGTAACGGTTGTGTACCTCACATGGGTAAATGTAACTACTGTATACCACACATTGGTAAATGTAACAGTTGTATACCACACATGGGTAAGTGTAACTACTGTATACCACACATGGGTAAATATAACTACTGTATACCACCCATGGGTAAATGTAACTACTGTATACCACACATAGTTAAATGTAACGGTTGTATACCACACATGGGTAAGTGTAACTACTGTATACCACACATGGGTAAATATAACTACTGTATACCACCCATGGGTAAATGTAACTACTGTATACCACACATTGGTAAATGTAACTACTGTATACCACACATGGATAAATGATGTGGTTGTATACCACACATAGGTAACTGTAACAGTTGTATACCACACATGGGTAAGTGTAACTACTGTATACCACACATGGGTAAATATAACTACTGTATACCACACATGGGTAACTGTAACGGTTTTTTACCACACATGGGCAAATGTAACTACTGTATACAACACATGGGTAAATGATGTGGTTGTATACCACACATGGGTAAATGAAACAGTTGTATACCACACATAGGTAACTGTAACAGTTGTATACCACACATGGGTAAGTGTAACTACTGTATACGAAACATGGGTAAATGATGTGGTTGTATACCACACATGGGTAAATGAAACAGTTGTATACCACACATAGGTAACTGTAACAGTTGTATACCACACATAGGTAAATGTAACAGTTGTATACCACACATGGGTAAGTGTAACTACTGTATACCACACATGGGTAAATATAACTACTGTATACCACCCATGGGTAAATGTAACTACTGTATACCACACATTGGTAAATGTAACTACTGTATACCACACATGGGTAAATGGTGTGGTTGTATACCACACATAGGTAAGTGTTACATTTGTTTACAACACATTGGTAACTATAACGGTTGTATAACACACATAGGTAAATGTAATAGTTGTAAACCACACATTGGGTAACTTTAAGATTTTTAGGTCACCTGAGGTAAATGTAACTACGGTATACCACACATGGGTAAATGTAGCTACTGTATACCACACATGGGTAACTGTAACGGTTTTTTACCACACATGGGTAAATGTAACTACTGTATACCACACATGGGTAACTGTAACGTTTTTTTACCACACATGGGTAAATGTAACTACGGTATACCACACATGGGAAAATGTAACTACTGTATACCACACATGGGTAAATGGTGTGGTTGTATACCACACATAGGTAAGTGTTACAGTTGTTTACAACACATTGGTAACTATAACGGTTGTATAACACACATAGGTAAATGTAATAGTTGTAAACCACACATTGGGTAACTTTAAGATTTTTAGGTCACCTGAGACAAAGTCTCAAGTGACCTATTGCGATCGCCTTTTGTCCGTCGTCGTCCGTCGTCCGTTGTGCGTCCGTAAACAATTTACGTTTTCGACTTCTTCTCCAAAACCACTGGACCAATTTCAATGACATTTTGCAGGAACCTTGCCGGTCTAGTCCCAAGCCCCCAGAATAATATTTCTGTTCATGTTAAAAACAAAATCAACTCTCTGTATAAATATATCAGGTGACCGTTAAGGCCCATGGGCCTCTTGTTGTGAGTTCGATGTATTAATATTGTATTATTTATATTTCAATTATTTATACTAGTTATATTAGGGATAATACTTTTTAGTTCCTGTTTTGCTCAAAAATACTTCCTAACTTCATTATTGAACTAACATGTGAATGCATACAGTGTGTCTCATCAATTGTGATGAGCAAACATTACTTCTCTGCCCCTCAGCATCATAATAGGTTTATCAATCCACCGTTGAGACTCTTTTTCTACAACTTACGTATTGATAAAAAGTATCATTGCAGTTTTAATTGACGAAATGTTAGTATACACATTTTGACATATTTTGCCATTCCTAACAACGTTGAAATGAACACCCCCTTATTACTGTGTACGGTATTCCATACTTAACCAGCTATTCCCGGTTCTACTGTTTGTATCTTAGTTCAGTAGGTCCTTGATTTGTAAACATACCCCGATGGTATGTTTTTCTGAAGTGTTCTGTTTGTTCAGGGTTTTGTGTCTCCGCTCGGCTAACGTCATTTTATTATGTAACACCATCACATTATTGATCCTCCCACGATCTCGTTAGTATAACCATAGCGTCGAGAAGACTTGTGGATTTACTGATATAATACCTATAACACGTTTTGTAAACCTTGTGGGTTCAACAAGTTCAACGTTTTCCGATAGAATCTTTGGAGAAGTGGTATGTTGGTTATGTGTGTGATGTAAATCATATAAAGAGGGAAATATCAACATAGAAAACGCTATGTGTACTTTTAAGGAAGTTCTGGTCCATTATAACTTTGATAATTTTTTTCAATTCAATAATTTTATTGCTCATTTATAGTTACATAGCAACTTGAAGGCAAATAACAAAACAACAAATATACAAAGAACCTGCAATAGTAAACAATATGTACATTCACACAGAAGCCAGGCCCACACTCCTCTGTTAAAGTGACTGTTGTCTATACATATACACGAGTCAAGTATATGTTGCATATTTCAGAAGATAACATGTGTTAAAGTATTTGTGTTTAGTATAAAATAGTTTTGACTATATTTACATAAATAGCCCTTTCTCAGCTGTGCATTATAGCCACACGGTCCCCACCTGAAGAAGAAGTGTTCTTCATCTTCTAGAACAAGACATGTATTGGCATACTTTTGCTCTCTAGGGGTTTCCTTGATCTTCCTATTGCTAGTTCAAGGTTATGCTCACACAATCTAAATTTTGTATACAACATTCCGAAGTTTTTATTAGTGATATGTTCACTAGCAACTGAGTACTAGATAGTAATGTCTCCCCTACAATATAACCTTCCCAAAATTACCATACTTTCAGTTTGAGAGTTTCGTGTTGATATCTGGTGGTTCAGAATCTTTTTTAAAAACTGGTGCTAAACTTAATGCAGGTTATCATCCACAATCAGTCGGCAGTAGCAGGCTCGTAGGCATGCAATGTTATCATCAACAATCAGTCGGCAGTAGCAGGGTCGTAGGCACGCAATGTTATCATCCACAATCAGTCGGCAGTAGCAGGGTCGAAGGCACGCAATGTTATCACCCACAATCTGTCGGCAGTAGCAGGGTCGTAGGCACGCAATGTTATCACACACAATCAGTCGGCAGTAGCAGGGTCGTAGGCACGTAATGTTATCATCCACAATCAGTCGGCAGTAGCAGGGTCGAAGGCACGCAATGTTATCACCCACCATCAGTCGGCAGTAGCAGGGTCGTAGGCACTCAATGTTATCATCCACAATCAGTCGGCAGTAGCAGGGTCGAAGGCACGCAATGTTATCACCCACAATCCGTCGGCAGTAGCAGGGTCGTAGGCACGCAATTTTATCACACACAATCAGTCGGCAGTAGCAGGGTCGTAGGCACTCAATGTTATCACCCAAAATCAGTCGGCAGTAGCAGGGTCGTAGGCACGCAATGTTATCACCCACAATCAGTCGGCAGTAGCAGGGTCGTAGGCACGCAATGCTCCGATATGCGGCGCTTTTGTTACATAGTTTTATGACTCATTTCTTGTCGTTAATAAGGATAATTAATATGATATATCAACATTTTTTTTCTCAATAGTTTATTTTTGTACCTTTACCACTACAAACAAAGGGTTCCAACGTGCTTTTAGACAACGTTATTTTATACATCTGAGAAATAATCACTCTCCTCTATTATGGTTGTACTGTCAATGCAGAGTCCGAGGTTGAATCTTTCTTCTTTTAGAAGTTATCCACTCGACGCTATGATTGTTTGGTTCAATATCAAAACTAAATCAGGACATTCTATTCAAGTCTTTCACGTCTTCTGACAATCTCGGTTTTTCGCTATTCGGCCAGAACTAGTAATATATCGATTGAAAGGTTCGTTATACATATTTCAACAAAGGACTAGTGTGGATATGATACCATTATATTGTTTCATGGTAGTGAAATAATAGACTACCAAATATCAGTTTTAAACACGTACATTGTATTACACCATGACGTCCTACCAGTATTCATTAGATACTGCATTTTCATAAAAATAATGAAACGTTGAATTTTGATATTATTTTTCCATGCGTTAACATTGCTGTACGATAGGTTTACGACAAGACTTTACTGGACACATCAAGCAATTATTATTATTGTAATTTTACTTTTGGTACTCAGGTGCTGATGGCGTTATTCGAGAAGGAGGCAACGTTTCGGGAACAGATAGTTTTTATCGTCCAAGGCGAGCAGAACGAGCCCTGGTACATGAAGGTCACCCCTAAAGGAACAGTCCCGGCCCTGGAAGCCCCGGGGAGGGTCCTGACCGACTCGGAGGATATCGTAAACTACGTAGACAAAGAGCTGGACACTGGTATGTGCAGGTCGTGATACTCCGAAACTAATGGTATTATCATATACTTTATTTATTACCACTGTTATAGTGATTCAAAGCCGTGGGAAACGGCTGCGAAAATATCTATCGGTTCCTGCGAAGTATATCAATGAATATTTGCATAGAGGGACAAAACAGGTTATTTGTAGTGTACTTTCACTTTTTTGTAGATTTTATCATTTATCAAATGGTATAGTTGCAATCTACATGTGAGTGTGGGTGTTTAGTTCGTTAATATGTCTGTAGATTTCCATACCAGAACAATAAGACGAACACTTTATAAGAGTACTGTATTTCTGTGGAGTGGTAGATAGTTGGTAATAGGTAGAAGGTAGCTACTGGAGATGATCAATAGTTGATACTTAGGGGAACGTAGGCATGTGACATGGACTATTTTTGATACTGAGTGGAAGGTACCTAATTGAGATGGTAAAGAGTCAAAGATTGGTAAGAGTCCTTAATGTTGTGAGTTCAGAGCATCTAGAGCAATTTGTTTTCTAGAGTCACTTTAAAGCTTTCTGGTAATACCGACGGCATAATATCAACACAAAGCTGTATGATGTGGCCACGGCTTTGGAAGTTAAATGTAAATATTAACTCATCACTCCCGGATGTCGAGCCGGTTGACAACAGTGTCAATTCAGGATTTACTCTAGTTGTAAAGAGTCTAACTTATAGGTTGACAGCCTGCTCCTCTAAACGATAAATTCCTTTTGTTAACATGTTATAGCGAATATACACGTTTTGCTTTAAATACCACTTCATCAAAAGGTTCAGCAACGTGTCAACCCTTTGTCATACAGTGTTAACTGATCAACTAGTGCCTATGTAACGTACCCGATACTGTATGTGTCAATACACAACCATCTGTCCTCGGGTAATGGAGGCCAAAATCATAACCCGAAGTTACTGATATTGAAATAAAATTATGCCTAACTTTAAATGTCCACATTTGTCACTATTTGGATGTACTGATAAGGACTGCTATGTGTTCTACTGTTTCTTCTACAGGGACTAGACTTATACCAAACCCTGACACTAAGATTGGACAGGAGGTCGACAAGTGGCGAAACCTATTGAATGACGTAAACGTACCAGTGATAACGTTTGGAACCGTATTTCACCAGGAGTTGTCACAAACAGGGTTGAAATTTCCGTCTTTCTTGAAGAGTAAACTCAAATCAGGTAAGATATTTTTTCTGAATTATTATCTAAGACAAACTATGATATGGCTAGTTACTAAACAGTGCCCTAGTATCACGGATTTATTGTGCTGATTTACGAAATTTGGTGCTGCTGTCTTCTTTCTAAAGGTGACTATGCCCGACTTAAGACAGATCTGTGAATTAGTAAAAGATACCACAATGACTGAAACGCGTTTGAAAAGTATCCAGTTTCACGTTTCATCGCTTCTCTAGAATTCTATATGGGGATAATGAATGGCAGTTCGCTGTGTCATAGTAAGGCAAATAAACTGTTAAGATATTACATACGCTAAACGTAAAGAAAGCACACATACTTCGGTCTTATCTGTGTTTCTGTAGCGCTTGTTTATAGAAAAATACTTCATATGTAATTCATATGTAAATATTTATATTTTACATCTGCAGCTTCAAATGAGCTCTATGCCTACTGCCGACGGGTGCTCGGCCGACGAGTGCCCTGGATGGTTACTATAGTAACCGACGATTTGAAATAGTGCGGACATAAACTTTTTAAAATATATAATACGCGGTGTTTAATGCGAAAAAAAATAAAAAAATATCATCTTTCAAAAATGAAATGAATTTCAAGTGTTGGTTATTATTAGATTTTAGATATTTATTTCGTTTCAACAAAATCAGCTGATCTGCGGAAGTCGAACATTTGAAGTTTGTGTGAAGGCTGCAGTTCTGGCTGTTCCTTTTTTATGGTTTTCTGATCGATACTAATATTAAAAATATAAAATCTACTATCCATGCTATTTCGTGTAAATTACGCCCCGTAATGTAACCCTGCTATTTCATGTAAATTACGCCCCGTAATGTAACCATGCTATTCCGTGTAAATTACGTCCTGTAATGTAACCCTGCTTTTTCATGTAAATTACGCCCCGTAATGTAACCATGCTATTCCGTGTAAATTACGTCCTGTAATGTAATCATGCTATTTCGTGTAAATTAGGTCCTGTAAAGTAACCATGCTATTTCATGTAAATTACGCCCCGTAATGTAACCATGCTATTTCGTGTAAATTACGTCCTGTAATGTAATCATGCTATTTCGTGTAAATTAGGTCCTGTAAAGTAACCATGCTATTTCGTGTAAATTACGTCCTGTAATGTAACCATGCTATTTCGTGTAAATTACGCCCCTTAATGTAATCATGCTATTTCGTGTAAATTACGTCCTGTAATGTAACCATGCTATTTCGTGTAAATTACGCTCCGTAATGTAACCATGCTATTTCGTGTAAATTACGTCCTGTAAAGTAACCATCCTATTTCGTGTAAATTACGCCCCGTAATGTAACCATGCTATTTCGTGTAAGCTACGCGCTGTAATGTAACCATGCTATTTCGTTTAAGCTACGCTCTGTTATGTACATGTAGCCTTGCTATTTCGTTTAAGCTACGCTCTGTTATGTACATGTAACCATGCTATTTCGTTTAAATTACACCCTGTAATGTAACAATGCTATTTCGTGTAAGTTAGGCTTTGTAATGTAATGTATTCATGCTTTTTCGTGTAAGCTATGCTCTTAAATGTAACCATGCTATTTCTTGTTAGGTACGGTCTGTAATGTAACCATGCTATTTCGTGTGAGGTACGCTCTATAATGAAACCATGCTTTTTCGTGTAAGCTACGCCCTATAATTTAACAATGTTATTTTGTGTAAGCTACGATTTGTAATGTAACCGTGCAATTTCGTGTAGGCTACCCCCTGTTAAATTGCCATGCTACTTCATGGTCATTATTCTATGTAAAAAACCCATGATATTTCGTGTAAATTACGCCCTGTAATGTAACCATGCTTTTTTGTGTAAGCTACACTCTTTAATGCAACCATTCTATTTCGTGAAGAAATGCTCTGTTATGTAACCATGCTATTTCGTGTGAGCTACCCCCATATAATGTTACAATGCTATTTCGTGCAAATTACGCGATGCTATTTTGTGTAAACTTCGCCTTGGAATATAACCATGCTATTTTCGTGTAAGCTACGCCCTTTAATGTAACAATGCTATTTCGTGTAAGCTACGCTCTGTTAAATTGCCATGCTACTTCATGTAGACTATACTATGTAATATAACCATGCTATTCCGTGTCTATAGAGCCTCGTCTATAGTAACTATACTACTTTGTGTTTACTACAGTATGTGAAGGGGGACAACTCCTTATACTTTACTTCAATTGTTGACTGCCGTACTGTATAATACTACACATCCATACACAAATATGCTATCACTCCGGTTTCCTGTTACAGTGTTACATATCATTTACATAATTACATGTCACAATTAAATACATTCATTTTAAACATCAGTTTCTTAATTTGTTGGCGAGCCGTACTCGGCTTATGGGATACTTTCTGGATATCATACATATGTTTTAGCTATAAAGAAACCAAGTGTAAAGTTTTAAATGAATATAGATATACCATGCAGCACCAAATTGTCCTCCTTCGTATGTTGTCTCCATAATATTTGATTATAATCACAGTGTGTAATATACACTTGTGAAAATTACCTGTCGTGTATTTTTACTTAGTCTAAAATATATGTGTATGATTTGTTTCCATATGCATAATTATACACAGTGATCCAAGTACTAATGTCATCAATACAACGTGTTTTAACAAGTTGTCTATTTAAGTAATTCTGTCTCGGCTTTCGTGACAGCAAAGGAAGTTATGCAGAATGGAGCAAAAGTACTCCAGGAAAAGGCTGACAAGTATCCGGAACTTAGGGAGCATTTCCTTGCAAAGCTAAGCGCTCAGAACGAACGGTCAGCAAAAACGGGAAATAAGGAGGTGGTCGTGCAGGCTTTGGACGAGCTGGATGTGCTATTTGAAAAGATCGAAGATAGATTGGCAGAAACGCGAAAAGGTAAGTATTTAGGCCTGATCTAGATGTGATGTCACGTGGTACATGTTTAGTGGTAAATGCTGTCCCTATGAATAACCTTGATCTGAAGTACGTGACCCACGTAAACTTGATTTAACTGAGTTAGTATAACCTATATAACCTTGATCTGAATTACCTGTGCTATATTACACGTATAAATCCTTGATCTAATTTACCTGTGCTAAATGACTTATATAACCTTGATCTGAACCATATGTGCTATCATGACCTATACAACTGATCTAAATTACCTGAGTTTATGACTTTTATTACCTTAACTCATTCACACCTGAAATTTCATAATGAACTATTCCAACCTTTGAGAGTAAGAGTTCAAATGTGTCTTCGGAGGTGAATAAGTTAATCTTAATTACATGTTATAGCATGACGATAGGTGGGTAATAGAATCTGAATTACCTTACGTGTAAGACGATATATGTGTAACATTATCTGAACTACCTGTACAAGTGTCATGTGTTTTATAGAGCAGGGAGTGACGGACAGCTGGCTTGTTGGGTCTCGGTTCACCATGGCGGACATCAATCTGGCCATCCTACTGGACCGGCTCACCCTGCTAGGGTTAGAGGAACGCTACTTCAGCCCCTCCAAACGACCACTGATCCAAGACTTCTACGTGAGGATGGGAAAACGCAAAAGTGTTCAACGAGTTCGACAGAAATTTCAGAGCACGATGAGAATAATGGTCGGCAGGACGTTGAAAAAGGCTATTCCGGTTGTCGTGGGTTTAGTGGGTGTGGCCGTAGGCGTGTTTTACTGGAGGGGGAGGGCGAAATGATAATGACTGGCTACAGGAAGGAGTGAGGAGGATATCCATTTGTAGCGAGAAATTGTGTATAAATGTGTCTATACAACTTGTTTATGTCGTTGGTTTTAATTAATTCTGAATTGTATGATAGCATTTCTACACATTAGTCATATCATATTAATACTATCTGAGTTGCACATAGTTAACTCATTCACCTCCGAAGTCACATTTAAATCTTTACCTCATATACTGTCTTTGATGCAGAAAATGCTACACAATAACTGCTAGGCCTTAGTAATTGAAGTGTGAAAATTAGGTCAAATACAGCATTTCATTTGCAGCCTGCATTCAGTAGAGCAACCCCAGCTGCAGTATCAATAGTTACAGAGATATAGATTGCGCAGTTCTTCTCTACATGTATCGGACGGATTGACCAGTTTCAATACCCCCTGCCCACTAAGTTGGGCGGGGTATACTGGGAATTAATAGGATGTCGTTAATTCTCGGAAAACAACCATCGTATTCAATTTCCTGAAGTATTCTGTATGGTGCTACTTTCTATAGTTGTTATTTTTGGTGGAACGCATCCTAGAACAAGGGAAAATATCTTAGTCATACACAAGGCGTTGGTGGTAATGGGGGTATACGACGTACCCTTCTGGAATATACATTTCTAGAAATGAAACAGAAACCAAATTAATAGTCAAGGTATATCTCTTAAATTGAACGTTTGATATAAGTTGTCTGTATTAGTAAATACAGTCGTATCAAATATTGTTTTGTTTAGTTTTTGTATTGTTTCAGGGCCAATCGCAATGAAAATCATTTAGTGCCAAAAGACGAAAGAAGAACTAAAAATAAAAAAGTTTAAAAATGTAAAGTACATCATCATGGAACGAATTGGTTATAAAGTATACCATATCTTATTAAAAATACCAAAGAGTGTAACTAATTATATATTGGTTGCACTGACACTATATCAAAAACACTTTCAAATAGGTACATTAAATCATATTCAATCATGAAGTGTTTCACCGTAAATGGCTGATCACATGCATTACAATCAGGTTGGTCTTCCCTACATAAAATGTAATTATGTGTGACGTATGTAAGGTCTGTGCTCAGTCGCGAGGGGAAACTCCCTCCCTGCGAGCTGCTTTACCTGCTGCACATGGTCAAATAGAAGAGAAAATTTTCGGTGAAACTTGAGATATGACGGAATATATCAAAGACATCTTTCCTTCGTAGCTCATAGATCGGAATATTTCCGGAGATTTCTACATACCCAGTGTTATGTTCTTTACCTAGACACAACTAACCAAACATCAGGTCAAGATGGCTTCTCAAAACATGTGCTTTTATTACCCATCATGCAATACATTACGTAATACAAATTACCGACATAGCATCCGTCAGCATCCGTAACCGATCCGCTACGGAGCGTTTACAACCACTTGTACATACAATGTACAGAAACACTACATCCCTCCACCCACAGTGAAGACATTCACCGATTGTGAGATGCTGTTCTCTTGAAATTAAAGTTTCCCATATACCTAGAAATGAAATGAACTATTAACTCTTGAACCAAAAACTCTTGCACAGATAGAGTGCATCAATAAACATAGTCAATAATGCGCGATACCAACGCTGAACACTTAAGTTTACCAAGTTCATAGAACACAGTTCATCCTTACTTAAAGCTTAACAGAAACTCAAAATAATGTGTTCAATGCTAGCTAATCACGAACATACTCCTTCAAGTACGATGGTGGTTTACGCGGTCTTTGGGGTCTCCTTGAAGGTTCTCCTGGACTAATCGACGATTTTGTTGATGGTACAGGTGTCGATGTGTTATCTGCAGGCTTTGGTTTACCAACTGAGTTGTTTGGCTCAGTAACCGGTACAGATACAGGTACAGAGGTAGGTATGGTGTCATAAAAGTCTTTGTCGGGGTCGACTTCTTTCACAGGGAGACAATGTCTTTGGCTTAAGTGGTCTACATGGCATCTAGCCACTGTTCCATTTTCCCCCTTTATGGTATAGGACAGGGGTCCATTTCGCGACACGATTTCACCCGATTTCCACTTAGGTCCAGCATAGAAGTTCTTCGCGAATATGGAATCTCCCTCAGCGAAATGACGTTCCTTCGTGTGCTGATCAAGTTGTTTCTTCTGCAACAGCTGTTGTTGCTGTACACGCTCACGAACTTCAGGATGAACTAAGTTAAGTTTTGTCGTGACTCTACGGTTGAACAAGAGTTCTGCTGGAGACAATCCAAACGACAAAGTTTTTTATCCAGACTACCCTCTGTGTTCTGTTGTTTCTTCATGCCCTCCTTGAATCCCCGCACTGCCCGCTCTGCCAGTCCGTTTGAAGCGGGGTGGTGTGGCGAAGTCCTTACATGTTTTATGCCATTCTCTGACATAAAAACACTGAATTCCTCACTCACGAAGCACGGACCGTTGTCCGACACTAACATTTCTGGCAATCCATGTTGCGCAAACACGCACCGCAGTCTCTCGATAGTGATTGCCGATGTGGATGAGTTTGTAACCAAAATCTCAACCCACTTACTGTATGCGTCAATGACGACCAGGTACATGTGACCCAGAAATGGACCTGCGTAGTCCACATGTACGCGTGACCATGGCCTCGATGGCCAGTCCCATGAATGAAGTGGTGCCATTGCCGGTATGGAAGCCTGTAGTTGACACGACTCACAACACTTCACTCGCTCCTCGATTTCGGCGTCAATGCCTGGCCACCAGACGTACCCTCGAGCTAAACTTTTCATCTTGACGATGCCTGGGTGACCTTCATGAAGGGCGTCGAGCAACGATGCTCGTCCAAATGTAGGGATTACTACGCGATTCCCCCACAGTAGAACATCCTCATACAGATTGAGTTCATGTCTCCGGTTGTGATAGGGTTTTAACCGTTCATTCGGACACTTCTCTCCCCAACCTCTGTACACCCAGCCGATAACTTCCTGTAACGTAGGGTCCTGTTTTGTCCAGGTTTGCACTTGCTCAAAGGTTACGGGCGAAGAGTTAAGCGTGTCCATCATCAAAATCATTTCTCCTGGAACTGGTACCTCATCTACAGTTTCACTCAGAGGTAATCGACTAAGCCCATCGGCGTTAGCATTCAATGTTCCCGGACGGTAGATTAAGTCATACTCGTATGCCGCGAGTAGAAGCGCCCACCTCTGGATGCGCGCAGATGCCATAGTCGGAATGGCCCGATCAGTCTTGAAAATCCCCAATAACGGCTTGTGATCTGTATATATGGTAAATGTCCTTCCATATAAATACTGGTGAAACTTTTTCACACCAAAGATAAGGGCTGCGCCCTCCTTATCCAATTGAGAGTAGTTCTTTTCAGCCGGTGCCAGCGAACGCGACGCGTAGGCGATAGGCCGTTCCTTGCCGTCTGGCTCGACATGCGATAGAACCGCACCAAGGCCATAAGGAGAAGCATCACACGACAACACTAGCTTCTTCTTCGGATCGTAATGCACGAGTACCGTATCCGACTGTAAAAGTTCCTTGGCCTTGACGAACGCATTTTCTTCGCGTTTTCCCCACTTCCAGTCAGTCTCCTTGGCTAACAACATGTGAAGTGGTGCAAGCACTGTGCTTATGTTGGGTAAATAGCACGCATAATAGTTAAGCATACCAAGGAAAGCCTGAAGTTCTTTCACGTTCCTGGGCGCAGGAGCGTCCTTGATGGCTCTAACCTTGACCTCAATCGGTTGCATGCCCTCTCCAGTGATCCTGTGACCCAAATACTCAACTTCTTCCTTCATGAAAAAGCATTTACTCTTTTTCAAGTGTATACCCGCATTCTCCAGTTTGGTCAAAACCAGTTCTAAGTTCTTGATATGACTCTGTCGATCCCTCCCGGCGACTAAGATGTCGTCGACACGAACTATCACTTGCGGTACACCTTGAAGGATATTTTCCATTGTCCTCTGGAAAATTCCGGGAGCTGACGAAATCCCATATGGTAGACGATTATAGCAAAACAGGCCCTTATGGGTATTGATTGTTGTGTAGGGTTTCGACTCGGTGTCCAACTCTAACTGCTGATAAGCCTGGCTCAAATCCAGTTTCGAGTAGAAAGCTCCACCTCCAAGACTAGCATACAAATCTTCAGTCTTAGGGATTGGGTAGTTGTCCAACTTACTCACTTGATTTACAGTTACTTTGTAATCACCACAGATACGAATGGTAGAATCCGACTTGACAATGGGTACGATAGGTGTCGCCCACTCTGACATTTCAACAGGCTCAATGGTGCCTTCCTGCACCAGTCTATCCAGTTCCGTTTCAATCTTTTCCCGCAATGCGTATGGAACTGGTCTTGCCTTGAAATAACGCGGTTTCTCGTTCTGATCCACATATATCTTGGCTTTAAAGTTTTTCACTTTACCCAGTCCTCCTGCAAAGACTGCCTTATGCTTATCAAGCACTGTCTGTAGTTCATGATCCTCACTAACCTTGAATATCTTAGCCCAGTTCAACTTTATTTTCCCTAGCCAGTCGCGTCCCATGAGATTATGACCGTTACCCTTGACTATTACAATCGACATTTCTCTCGTAAAGTTACGATAGCACACTGTGAGTACGCACTCGCCCAAAGTAGGCACACTTGCCCCTGTGTATGTGCGTAACTTGACCTGGGTGGGTTTGAGTTCGAGTCCAGTATCCTCAGATAACTCGCGAAATGTTGTTTCACTCAACACTGAAATTCCAGCGCCTGTATCGATTTCCATGTCCACATTCTTACCCCCTATTTGAAGTTTGACATGGTAGGGTTTCCTTGATTCCCCAATGTGATTGATGTGATACATCATGTACATCTCGTCCTCAGAATCCTCCATCATATGGACCTTGGAAGGCTGTTTGCTGTACTGACCACTTTGCCTTTTATACAGCTTGCCTGACTTATCCCCCTCCTTGTTGGGGCACTTATCCCTAATGTGTCCCTTTTGACCACACTTGTAACATTCATAGTCCTTAAACCTGCATGTGTGAGGTTTATGCTTCCCTCCACACCGCCAACATGGTTTGTCATGTCTATCAGTACTTCCAGAACTTTGATG